GTATGTTTCCATGTCTCTACCTGTAGGTGCTGTTCGCCTTGAACCAGACGCTGCTGCAGCACGAGGGTGTTCGAGCGGGCAGCCTCCAAGGTTCCTACACCACAGAGGACCTCATTACACACTACAACTGTGGTGACCTCAGCGCTATCATCTTAAACCATGACACCTCACAGGTTGATTCATTTAAGGACTGCTCACCCCGTTGTAAAAAATAATACACTTGTGGTTCACTTTTTAGGACTGATTTCAACAGCTTTGTGTCAGAATTCTTCAAAACCAGTTAAAACGAGTTTTTTGTGGCAAAAAGAAACAACATAAAGACTCTAAATTAAATTACCTGCCTTATATAATACAAAGGATCTAATACCGTTAATCCACTTTTTCAAACCTTACAAAGTTTTACAACATTTCTCACATATTTCCAAATTCCAAAGTTTTGCATGGTCAGACAGCAACACACTGGTAAAGTTGGAATGTTTGGCTACAGTGAAAAGGTTGGATAATAAGTTACTTTCATGCTGGTATCACATTACCAATGTTAGGATTGTTACTGAAAAAAGTAAGATATTACACTTTTCCTGTTTGTACAATATAAATATTATATTGTACGAACATGATAATTATGTATATTGTAATAACGTGATATTATGTTGTTCAAACGTGAAAGGTATATTGTACAAACAGGAAAAGTATCTTGTTAGAACAATAAACTTTTCACGTTATAACGTGATACACTTGTATTTTTCTTTTGCCTGGGTGGCAGCTCTACGCTTCCGTAATATTACACATTACAAGTTACTTTTCTACATTACATAATCACTTATTGGACAAAGTAACTAATTTGATTACTTTTGCATTACTAAGTAAAATGACCTAAAATGTACTGTCACATAATCCGTCGTTTTTTAATTTCTCTCAGCCAGTTTTAGGCAAACTAAGCTGTTTTGAAGATTCTGCACTGATCTCAACTCACTTGCATACTCAGCAGTACAGTTTACCAGATTAATCACACCTGTGCGTGTAACATCATCCTCTGCGCACTATATTTAAGCTGCAGACCTACACATTCATTCTTTTTCTGTCGAGAGAACTGAAAAGAATGGGAACCTGCATTCGCTGCCAAACAATGATGAATGGCTCCAGGTTTGCTTCCAGTCATAAAAATATGTTAAACTATATGAATATGAGTTTTAGGTCATGTCACTGATTTTTTCTTTCTTTCTTTTTTAATAGTGACCTAAAGTATCATGCAAGTGAGACTTGTTTTGATACCCTGCTGTAAACCTTTAACCATCAAAGACAACTTTCTTAAATTCATTTGCAGAATTTTAAACTACCAAAATATTTATTTATTAACTTTTTTAAAGCAGAAAAAAGGGTAAACCTTTGAACTTCTAAGTTTGCTGGAAAAGGGAATCGTCTACTTATCGTTCCTGATTCACTAAAAATCCTCACAGAAAATACTACCCAGTGGTAGCAAAACATCTGTAACAGCGCTCAGAACTTGAATCTGTCAGATCCTCGATTTGAGTTGGCGAACTTCTCATACCCACTTCTGTGCCATTACACTATCGTCACCTCGAACTTTTGGGCTTACACATCAATTCCACAAATCTGCACGTTGCCATATTAATCCTTCTCAGCCTCAAGTTACTTGATAGTCTGACACTTTAATAGCTCTGGACTCCACTGTAAATACACCATCTAACCTCCAACTTATTTCCTAACATAGCCTTTGCTCCTTTGGTGATGGTCTCTTAATCAGTCTTCATACCCAGCTGTCAAGAGGCCATTCG